ATATATATATGCCTGTGTCACTGATTGGCATTCAGGTGATGGCGACCGCTGCTCCACGGCACCGGTGATAGCTCAGTTGGTAGAGCGGCAGACTGTAGATGCTGCGGTAATCTGTTGGTCCCTGGTTCGATTCCGGGTCACCGGACTTTTCAATGTGGGCAGGTTTATGCAGTTGTTTTGTACGCTAATTAAAACTTATCCAGAAGCTTTGTTTTGGCGAAACTGACAGCCTTCCTGCTGTGGGGCAAGTGCACTGCGTTAAGTATGGCCGACCAGTGTAAGGCACATTTCCGGAAAGATACCCATTTTAATGTAAAGTGGAAGCAGCTTGGATGTCCCGCAGAAGTCTCAGAACATTTAAACGAATGTGTTGATAGTCTACTTGCTCCCGGGTCCCCTAGGAGGCTTACAGGTCACGTATCCATGCGCGTGCGCGGGTTCCACCCCACTTGGGCTTCGGGGCTGGTGAATTGAACAAACACTGCGAACGTTCCCACGCCCGCCGCTTCCGTTGTAAGTATCCACCTTTTCAGATATCATGAACAAGTGTCGCAACAGTTTTTGCCACTTCCGAATAGGCGCTTTTAGTAAATCGTAGTTATCCCTGGCCACAAGGCCAGGGATAAACATACCCCATCCAAAATAATCTTGAATATTTTCAGAGTGCACCACTTGTTTACATTTAAAAGCAGTGGACAGCTATTTATTGACTGGCCAGCGGGAGGGAATCTTCCTGCTATTAAGGACGCTTCAGGCTCCTTCCCTAATGTGTTCGGGCCCGTGAGAAATCTTCCCTCAACTGTACCCACTTATATCGTTCGTCAGGCATTGACTGGACCGAATGTCCATGTACTACGATCTTTCCAAGACCATGAGACCGGAATGCATGGAATGCCTCGTCGTTTCAGCCATCGCTTCACTACTGGTGCGCAGCCTCTTTTCTCGTTTCCTATTGAAGCGGCGATTCCACTCATCTTACCGTAGAGGATGCAACAATGTTGGCACAATTGAGAGAGGCATCTAATGCTTCGTCCGGAAGACGCATTTACATCCTTCCCTGCATCACTCAAGGCATGCGTAGGATTACTCCGTGGTGAACTTTCCAACGCAAAAGTCTTGGACCATGGTAGTCCGACAAGTTTTTGTGGGCTAGGATTTCAGCTCCATTGTCTTAGAGACCTTCATCTGCCGCCTGTTGTTGGAAAGGCGTAGTTGCAGAGACCGTTCCAATGAACAGAAAAGTATTTTGTACTGCTTTGCGATAGCATCAGATTTTACATACACTTTGCAGCCGGTGTCAAGTAGCACTAGCAACTCCAAGTCTGTGGTACGAACTTGGATCAGCAGAGTTGACTCGGCGCCGATCTGGAGGTGCGGATTTCAACTCTTACGACTTCTTCACTGCCCTTCACACCACGATAGTTCTTGAACTGTTTTTCTTTGTTTCCCTGGTTGCGCCGTTCAAATATTGCTTCTCCCCATTGGCCGCTCTGGTCTTTTCCCCTGAAATACAGTTTTGTGTGACCTTGTTACCTTGGTTGTTCCAGAGAAGGCAAATGCGCCCCTCGGTACTCCTTCCCGGATTTCTTACTGCCGGATTCAACGTCTGCCATCTATTCTCACTCCAGATCTTCTGGGCGAGTATGGCATTCACAGATGTAATATTCCTCCGCTCTACGTATGGGTCATTTTCAAAGTTTTCTATTCTTTTTCAGTTGGGTCGAGGTAAGTGGCTCCTTTTCCCTCCATGATGCGTAAGTACTCTACAACCCCGTTGGGTTCTACCATTTCATCCCATAATCCCCTCTCCGCTGCCCAGCCAACCGTCGATTCCCCCTCCGCGTGAGCCAGCCCTACTGTGACGAACCATTGATGTAGGAACTCTGAGTTTACCATTGAGATTTTCTTCACCAACAAAAGACACTTTCAGTGAATCGCTCTAACGCTTCCCTTGTTTGAGTTTTCCTAGTTCGGCCGCTCTCTGCTCCCTTATTGACGTTGCGACAAGCCTACATCACTGCACATGTTGGAAAAATTCCACAGTGCAGATGCGGTCTGGGAAAATGGCAACCGCGACCAGGCACAGCCAACACTGTCGTGCCTTCTCCTTGCGATAGAGCAGTTGCCACTTGCACTCCGGGTGAGTACTGACACCTTCAGAGGAGCCACGAATTTCTCAGCTTCCCCCGCACTGCGGCGCCAGCTAAATTCCGTCGGTTGGCTACGGTGGATTCATTGAGGTCCCTCCGCCGTAATAGCATTTTCGGTTGGGTGGGATGCGGGTACTACGCTCGACGATTCGCCTATCCGTTGCTAGCATCTGCGCCTGGGTTTAGAACATGATTGGTACCCACTACTCAAGAGGACAAAGAAGTTTGTTTGGGGGCAAACGCATGGGGGGAGAATATTAAGGTTCCCTTTATCCAGGGAAAGCGGCTGCAAGACTAATGAGCGCTGCAAACCATGCCTCCCAGATGTGGATGTAGGGGTCGCTCCTTGTGCCCAACCAGACTAGCCAGGCGGTGCTGGAAATGTAGCGAAAGTCCTCGATCTTAGCGCGGAGCTCCCTTGACTGCAGTAGAATAAAAACACTTAAGTTAGCAATTTCCAAAAGCAGAGGGGATCGCCTCCAGTACCGAGGAGTCCACGGCAAAGCTTTTAACATGCCGCCTTCTCTTCGCCAGAGCCGGGGCTGGCGAAGAGGCAACGGCCTGGCATAACCTGCATCGGGCCTTTCTGCAACTCCTCCTGGAATGGCAACCACACATCCAGGCGCAGCTACTCCCCCTCTTTTGCTTGCTGTAACGAGAGTCTGCGATCTTATCCGAGGACCCTCGTGCGCTTCAAGAGAACCAAAAAACACTAAAAGTGAGAGTTCCTACAAAGCGACAGAGTCCCCCTCCAGTCACCAGACATTCTGGGCACAGAGCTCCAAGGGTCGGGCTCTGTAGAGAAGAGGCAGCCTGAAATAGGTTGCAAAGCGCCTCGCTGAAACTAATGCTGTAAGGCAACTTCACATGCAAACACAACCAAACCCCACTTTGCGGTATGTGACAACACTCTTCCGCTTGAGTGCAGGCGGCCCACTAAGGTCAAGTAAGTAATCAAGTACCAACTTGGGGCAGCCCATGATGCAAGATGGATCACCTGTGCGGCGTGCAGTCGCAATGGACACATTGCTAGCCTTCCTGTATAATCTTTTAGTTATGCTCTTGTTATTGGTTATTATTTTCCGGTGCTTTATGTACGGCACAGTTTGTGGAGGATGCCTTTCTGAAGTTGGTTTTACATATTTGCGTATTTCTGGTTTAGTGCGCATAGTGTCTCCCAAAGGCCAAGGAAGTATTCACAGTTGCCTGCTAGTGTATTAGTGCATCAAAGGGGGCTTGTTGGCGTTTGCCACGCTGGGTTGCTGTTGCCTTGCAGCGCGAGTTGCAGCTGTGTTGCTTCCATGACAGTCTACCATTGTGTGTCCTGTCCGTATCATCCATCAGGCCGCTGTGCCCGGGACGCCTAGACACTGGAGGGAATATTGTTATTTCCTGCCCTTTTTGCTTATATTTTATTGTGCCCCTTACATTACCTCAAGTGTACTGTTTCATTATCTAGAGTCGTTCGTATTATTATCATAAGTCATTCATTATTATACCTCAACTCCATTGCTATATTGTCCGCAGTCTTTTCGCCTCCACTACAGCTCATCGCGATGATCGTCAGATGAGATGAAAAATTCTAGCTGCACTTTATTAACACGCATGTATGCTGCCAACTGGAATTCACGGCGGTGCTTCTGCGTACCTACACACTCAAGAGGCACGCCCTATAGGGCATTAGAGGCCAACGCTTCCACTTTTCTTCTCTGTAGCAGCCACACCTCAGAGCGTTGCGGCTGAGCACTTCTCCGTAGAGCATACTTCCTTAGCTGGCCATAGCCAGCTGGCTAGCAGCAATGCATGCACGATACGATAGCGCATGCGTTCACTTGACTTTGGACAAAATGTCATTCCTTCTGAATATACAGCCCACTCAAATGCCTCAGTATGCGGTAGCAATAGCACTGGTGTAAGCTGTGTAAGCGTTTATCCTGCATGCACGCGGGCGACCTGTGCTGCAGCAGCAATCGGAGGGCCCAATGACTCAGGTGTGCGGTGCTAACCCCTGAGGTGCACGCACAGCCTGCACCGCAGTGCAGTGCTGTGCCTTTGCTGCTAACAACATATCGAGAGGCAAAACCCTGGTATTTCTCAAACTCCATCCCCTCAACTCCTCCAATAGGTTATGCTCCCGTGCATGCATCCGCATCCCCTACACACACCGTTTATTCGTACACCACGCACATGTACGTATGTACGTACACAGATGCATGCGTACACCAAGTGCACGCGAACTAAACCGAGTAACCTGCATGGACGACATCTTTGTGTAGGAAGCGCTGTCAGTCAACCACGCCGAATGTGCGTGCAGCTACAGGGACAGCTAGTGCCTGTGTACCTAATGCCGCTGCGGCAACACTGAAATGTGTAGAAGCTGCTGCTCTATGAGAGCAACAGCAGCAAAGAACAGAGACGCATAGCAAAAACCAAGCATACAGTCAGCGCCTTGAGGCGCAAACAAATGCCAAGAAAACTCAAGACGAACCAACAGTACCAACTAAAAGGGGCCGCAGCCGCCGCTGCAGCGCCAGCAAAAGGCGCAGCAGCAGCGGCCCAAGAATGTTTAGCAGCAGCTGCAGTACTGCAGTACCTGCAACTGCTGCTACACGTGCAGACCCAAGTGCGCACCGCACTCGTTGCTGCTACAGCATTTGCTGCTGCCGTGTCCTCAATTGCTACTGATGCAGCAACCGGTGGAGGCGTATTTCTGCAGCAGCTGCTATGTATATACGCGCATGCTGTTCAAGCTGAGACGCAAACATCCCTTTTTTCTCCCCTCCTCTCGCCCTTTGCAAGGGAGGCGGCGGCGAATAGACACCCCAAGTGCCTGCATCCACTTTGTTGCAGTCAGTAGCCGAACCTGCTGCTCAAGTTGCCGAAGTCCGCAGCCCCCCCGACGGACCTTGCCGGCTGCTGCTGTTGCTGTTGCTGCTGCTTCCGCTGCATTGCAGCAGGAATCGCTACATGCGTGCCGCGCTGCTGCGGCAAGGGAGCAGGGACGGTGTCTAAGCTTGCCTGAATTTTAATGATTGGCTGCGCTTCTGCATCAGCAGCATAGGAGGGCGGCGATGGGGGAGCCGTTGCTGCTGCTGCTGCTGCTGCTGCTGCTGCTGCTGCTGCGGCTTCTTTCAGAGAGGTCGGGGGCCTCCTCCTGTCAACGGGTAAGGATTTCACCGCAGGAGGTGAATCCCTGTAGGGATTGTAGGTGCTCGTGACGCCGGCCGTGCCTCTTGCGGCAGCTGCTGCTGCAGCTGCAGCCGCTGCAGCCGCTGCTGCGGCTGCTGCTGTGGTTCCGAATTGCCGACGCCGCGAAAGTGAAGTGTTTAGTCTCGTTGTTACAGGGCGTCTCAGCTGCGGCCTCCCGCTGGCAAGTCGTCTGCCTCCTAGTGCAGCAGCACGACCTCCCCCCAGTGCTGCTGCAGCACCTGTTGCAGCAGCACGCGAGTAGATGCTGGTGCTTCGGCTGCGGCGCGCTGCCGCAGTCTTGAAGGTCGCAGCAGACTTCAATGTCTCCACTACTTGCTGGTGAGGCGTGCGGACTCTCCCCCCTCTCCTTGCCGCAGCAGTAGCAAGGGCCTTGGAAGCAGCACTCCGAGGTGTCGTGCGAGCAGCTGCAGCAGCAGCAGCACTTAGCCGCCCTCTGCGCTGCGCCGTCCGCGGGACCAAGAAGGCCCCCCTGCGTCCACTGACACCCGTCGTCGTCCTAAATGAAGCAGAGCCCGTATTCTGCTGCTGCTGCTTCGGCTGCTGCTGCCGTTGCTGCTGCTGCTGCCGCTGCCGCGAAACAATCAAGGCGTCAAGAGGCAAGTTGATCTTGTCCTCAACAGTTAATTTGCGACTCTGCTGCTGCTGGTGCTGCTGCTGCTGCGGTCTTGGGTTGTACTTGGTCTGCTGCTGCATCGGCCTCTGACCAAACCTCACCTGCTGCTGCTTCTGCCTCAGCGGCTTCTTGAACAGGCCGCCCCGCCTGTTGGTGCGCTGCGGGGCTGCGCCCTTCTGGGGGCTGTTGAGAGAAGAGCCCTTGGCGCCTCTCCGCTGCATCTTAATGAGCTCATCAAGCGAGCAGCCAATCTTTGCCTCGACGTCCATGGTGTCGACTTTAGTGGTGCTGCTGCTGCTTCTGCTGTTGCTGCTGCCGGTGCTACCGCTACTGGTGCTACTCGTATGTGCTTGGTGCGCTGCAGCAAAGGCTGCAAGTTGAGGCCTGGTCTGAGAGACAGCAGCAAACAGTCACCGAACACACCTTCCCCCTTTCTGAGATCAAACCACAAGCAAAAGAAAAACCCATCACCCAGTGCTGCAGACACCTCGGCAACGGCAGCCCCTTCGAGCGACGCTCAGCAGCAAGACAGAGAAAAGAGGAACAGGCAGCAAAGATGCGCGCGACAAAGCAGCAGCGGAGGCCCCTGTGACCTCCCCCTGCTGCTCCTGCTGTTGCTGCTGCTGCTGCTCATCACGCCAAGACGGTGCAGAACGGGACGCATGCAACAAGCGACGGTCAGACGATGTGCAAGTGGCTATGAGAGAAAGAAAAAAACAGGGTGGCAGAGGCGCCAACGCGTTCAACAGCAGCTGCGGCTGCTGAAGCTACAAGAGCAGCAGCAGCAGCAGCCGCTGCTGCTGCCGCTGCTGCTTTCGCTGTGGATGGCAGGCCAGTAGAGTAAAAGGGACGGACGAAGCGATCGAAAGAGGCTCACGGTCTTAAACAATACGTGAAGTTGAGACAGGCAAACGCCAGCTGCAGCGAAACCTGTAGAGAGAGGAGCGGCGAAGGCGGCTGACGGAAGAGGAGGGGGGAGGAGAATGCAGAAAAGAAGATGCTGGTGCAGCTCTGTCCTCCCTTTTGATATACTATTAATACGACGGTACAACTGCACGGCTCACATATGAGCTGCAGGTTCAGCACCGCAGCGTCTCGGATGCGACGTCCGTACACCCGAATAATAAAGACGGCGTCACCAGCCTCTCGGCCCTCCTATCTGCCGCTTTCGAGAGCCCCTTTTTGTAATAATCGTCTTGCTTTTGCACAGAAGAAAAAATAATCCAAGAAAAGATGATGAAAACACAAAACCGCAGCGGCCCTGCTGCTGCTGCCGCTGACAATGTATAGACACCTGAACGAATACCCCGCCTAAGCGGCTTCCGGCAGAGTCCGCAGGTGCAGCAGCAGCAGGTTGTGCTCCATGGGGGCTGCGCTCCTTCTTGCTCGTCGTAAAATATTTAAATTCCTTTAACGGAAAAGGAGGTTTTGTTTGCCTCTGTTGCGGAATTAGAGCGGCTGAATGCCTTTGCCACAGTACAGATAAGCAGAGGCAGAGGCGTTTGCTGCTCGAAACTATATAGCCAAAAAAATATCAGCCCCACAGACAATGGGCAGCTTTTTTCAACTTCCACATGGATCTGCATCATGTTGCATTCAGGAGTAGAGGCAGAAATAGAGACAGCAGCTACCCCAGCGAACAGCAGACGCAACAAACACGTGCAGAGTAGACAAGCCGACTAGTGGCGTCATTGGATGTGCACAAGTGTAGACAACAGAAAGGGCGGGGAGGGGGAGAGAGGGTAAAATAGAGACGCATAGGGTCCTTGCTGGACAATTTGCAGAGCATCGGTTCGACCGCCTAGCGGTAGAGATGGAAGCAGGAGAGAAAAGAGGACCTAGCAGATTTCCTTCCTTGTCGTATTCGGTCGCAACTGCATGCCCAATCGGACGGTTTAAATTGTTCCGTCTACAACCTCAAACGAAATACAGGATTTGGGCCCGTTGGGCAGCAACCCCGTCTTTTAAGCCGTGGGTGCATGTGGTGTGTTGAAGGAGACGGTCTTTCTCCTTTTAAAAGAGCACTTATATCTGTTTCTTGGTTCGTCTACCTCATTGCCTGTCGGTGCATCTGCAAGCTGCGATTCAGGTCCCGAAGTGGAGGGATTTAGGAGTTCTGTGTCTCGTGCTGTCGTGGTGTGTGTGTGTGTGTCTACCTTCTAACTAAGTTGTTGCAGTCTTCCTGACAAAGCACAACGCGAGGCACCAGGGAACTCTGCATGCATGCAGCTACAGCCCTTGAAGCAGAAAAGGCAGAAAGCGGTGCAAGAAGAGTGTCAGGCGTTCATAGGAACGAAAAGATAAGCAGAAACCCCATCTATGCATTATATGCCTGGCAGAGACGAGCTGGCACAGACAGCTCAGTCTGGTCGTAGTGGTCGTAGGTACTTGCTTGCTGGTCAGCTCTGCCCGTACTTATTAAATTTGTCGGTATTTCTCTAAATCATTCAGCACTGCCATTGAAGAGAAAGGGGAACAATGCTTCTAGATGAATGCCGACCCAAATACATTGAGCGACAAGACTAAACCTAAACCCTAAGCAAACGGCTGAGGTGCGCTGCGGCTTTGCTTCTGTTTCAAAAATTGATGCTGTCTGTCTAATCATGTTCTCCCACGCTCCCTGCGTGAAGGAAGAAAAACAAACGGAAGGGAAGCAGTAAGAAGCTGCTAAGCCCTAAATTCGGTTCCCTAAAATCAAACAGATGAAATGGAAAGACGGGGTGCGGCGGCTGCTGCTTTCCCCGCTTCTTTCCCCTCCCACCTGCCCTTTAGAACTCTCCTCCAAATATCTCCTGCTACGAGGACCAGGACGCAGGAGGAACAAAGATGTAATGAGGGAGGCACGCAGGTGACAGCGGCGAAAAATAAAATAACTATTGAATCGGTTTCTCTCTCCAATTGACAATAGACCCGAGGAAGACGGAAGGCAACAATACCTCTGTGGGGACTTTCTCTTCGAAATAATGCTAAACAAACAGATCAACAAACAGAATGAGACAACACGGCCACGGCCAAGTGACGCCATCCCGTGCATTTTCTTATTTGCAGTATAGCAAACATATGGAGGGAGGGGACCGAAGCCCCAAACCCCTCGGGAGCGAGAGCAGTATAGGCTAGTGCATGCATGAATGCACGTACACCACAGCTTCGACAAGCAGGCACGCCTCTATCTCTGTCACTCCACAACCGCATTTTATTTCTCCTCCCCGTCTCCCCCGCGCTTCGCCACCCCGCGTTTACAGACACATGAGCAGCACTTTGGGGAGGGAGGGAGGGAAAGGAGACTTCTTGCGGCTCTTTCATGCAAGCACCAAACGAACAGCCAGCAGGAATTAGAAGACAAACAACTATTGCGACGCCCAGAGAAAGAAAATGGGACGCTGGCCACGGGACCACACGGGGTCGAACCGCCTACAGAGGACAATAATAATATATATATATAAATAATAATAAATAATCATAATAATTAATAATACAAATGAACATCACGGATTTGCCTATTATTTTGCGCAGGCCTATGGCAGACAGCTGTAGATACACCCGATACCGCATCGGGTATTTCAAATTGGGGGGTAAGAGCGAAGAGCAACTGTGCTCCGCTTCCCACTTCAAATATGATAATCAGAACAAGCAGTGACACCCCAGAGCAAAGAAGAAAAGGAGAGAGGCAGAAGGCGGGGTCGGTCTCCAACGTTGACGGGGACCGATGAGCTGCAGCAACAGCAGCAGCAGTTATCATTTTTCTCTGCGTCTCGTGTCTGACGCAAACACAACACGAGCAATGAATAAAGAAACCCCTTCAAGCCTCCGCGTTTACGAGGGTGTTTCTGCTGCTGCTGATGCTGCTGCTGCTCTAAGTGGCCCCCTGTCGTTCTTCGCGACAGCGAAAGGCTGCAGCTGCGCAGCGAGTTGCAGCAGAATTGCCGCCTCCGTCCCGACGCCTCGTGAGGAAACAGAAGAAGAAGCAACAGAGAGCTTCTAGTGCAGCTACAGGGAACGTTTGCTGCTGTTGCGGTCGCATTGTTTACCGCGTCGGCCGGAGGCCCCGCCACGTGAGGGCCACCCATTGGGGGCCCCTTCTGCAAGGGTGCTAGTGCCACGCATGAGCTGCTGCTGCTGCTGCTGTTGCCGCTGCTGTTGCCGCTGTTGCTGCTGCTCCGTTTGCTTGTGTGCGTATCCCTGCCCCCCGCGAGGCCTCTCTCCCGTGCCTGTGCATGGGGAGTTCACGAAGCTTTTGGGTGTCTGTCTGGTAGTGTTCTGATTGCCTCCTCTTGCTGCTTCTCTTTCATCGAAGAAGTCGCGTCGGCCCAGCTGAAGCGCGCGGTGTCTGTACAGCAGCAGCTCCAGCTCGCCGTGTGCATGCGTGCACCTGTCATTTTTTAAACAGTTACCCGATAGCCAAGAACGACACATGTTCGTCTTGTAGTGATTTGCTGTGCGCCGCAGCTCCTGCCGGGTGTGAGCGAACGTGCAGCTGCCGGACGCTAGAACTGCAGCACAACACCAGCCCCAAAACCAGCATGCATGCATGCAGCAAGCACATGCAGACAGAACATATCACAAACACAGACTACTGCCTGCAACAGCTGCAATTGCAAACAAGACACGCTGCCCCAGATTCTGCCGCTGTCCCTGTCACGGAAACAGCAGCAGCAGCGTTTGACCGTCTCTATAGAAGCAGCGCATTAGCAAAGGACGCATAAGTGCAACAGCAGACGTACGTCTTGGGCAGACCTCGCCTGCCTTGACGGCAGGACACATCATTGTCTTGGAGAGGTAGGGGGGGGGCCTCAGCTCCTCTTCTGAATGAGCGAAGGGACAATTGAGGCCGTTGCGGCAGTACCCCGAGGCGAGGTGTCTGCACAGCTGCGTTTTGTGGAAGGCGCGGCGTCTGTCCGCCACAATGGTGTGTTCAAGAGGGAGACAACTAAGGAGCGGATGGGACAGAAACAGCAACTGGCGCGTCAGGTCTGCTGTAGTGTCTAGTGAACTTGGAGACACAGTCTCTAGAGTAGATGAGGAGGAGGGCACCGAAGAGACAGTTGAATGCGAAGCCAGCGAAACTGCCTCATCGCTGCTGCGGTCCCCCAAAGAACCTTTTTTTAGCAAACAGGCACGAGCTGCATCTGTGGGGCTTGGTGCAGCGGAAGAAAGCAGGAGAGACTGCTGAGAAGCAGCAGACCCAAGGGGCCCCGGGGTGGTGACTGTGGAGGGCCCCCAAAGCGTCTCTGCTGCTGAAGAGCCCAAGAAGAATGCCTCCAGGAGGAGGCCTGCTGCCGCGTCATGCGAAGAAGACATTAAAGAAAGGGAAAACGAGACAGAAAAACGCCGCTCTAAACAACGGCCACCAAATCTTCATACAGGCCTCGGAAGAGCGCCTCTGTCTATTAATCATGCCCCGCGTTTGGAGAGAGAGATTCGGTAGCGAAATGAGAAGGATACCAGCCAGCTCCTTCTTTAAACTCCGTGCAACAAGAAGAAAACAAAACCACCAGCAAATAAACAAGTAAAACGCAAAGCGGAAAATCAAACAAACCAACGGAACGGAGGGAGGTGGCGATCAGACACTCCAAGGAGTGAGCGCAACTCGTAAACAACCTACGGTGTCCCGAGACTGGGGGATCCGATACCGCATTTAGCAAACGTTCTTTAATTAAATACTGCGCTGAAATCGTTGCATGCAAGAAAACAAATGGGGCTCAGATGTGGGGAGCTGGTGTAGTAGACAGGAGCAGAACCGCCGCTACACCGCAACAGGGGAGGAGGGCGCATGAAAGCGGCAAGGATGACCTAAAGTAGAACAATAGTTCAAATTTATTAATATTTCCCCTTTTGTTTTTATTCACACAGACTCTGCTGCAGAAGAAGAAGACCCGATTTCATCTGTACTACCAACGCCGCCGAAGCTGCAGCGTGTGCTCAACCCACGGAGGATAGCAGCAAGCATGGCAGCACTAAGAAGACAAGAGTAATTGTCAAGACACTGCAGCAGATTTCGTTTACAAAATCAATAAAAGCATATTCCTTCTCTTCCTAACAATGTACACCCCGTATACTATCAAAAACAGAGTAGCGACCGCCCCTTGCATTAAACGCAACATCGGGGGTTGCCAGGATCCTTCCGGTGACCCGCTTCGGAGTGAACCTCGTGTAATATAGATTGTCTGTAGCTGGTGCGTACATTCTTACTTGCGTATAAGCTGAGTGATATTTGGGGTCAAGCAATTATTGAACAAGTGTCTACAGCGCTACAAGGCGACGCATGAGGCGTCCGACGTTGGTATTTGAACAATCATTTGGTTTTAGGGTGCAGCCTGCACGCAAGCGGAAGTACAGCAATTGCCTACAGTGTTAATGCAGATACCAAAAGGGGGTCTTGGTTATGCATGCGCGAGAAGGTGCCCTGCAGCATCAGCTGCAACGAGATGCCGTTGCAACTCGTCCCATGCCACCCGCCACCTTTCCGCCTTCCCCAATGTCCTTGGGCCCCTGTGCCCAGAACATCTGGGGGATGGAGGGAAGGCCATAGGGTTTTTGGGGGCTCTTGCCCTAAGCCTCTTGGCTCTACTGCAGCTCACAACAGTCCTCAAAAAGGCTTGTGGACCCTTGTTCCAGTTGGTAGCACCACAGTGCTCATGGGGGCAGGAACGAGTCACTAACCCCACCCCCACAGCTGAGTGATCTGGTGAACAGGAGTGGCCAGCAGCGGAGGTGCTTCAAATATCGAAGAAAACAGGGGAAACTTTGAAAAAAAAACCGTTGTCGAACGAATCTCGGTCTTTTCTCCTTGCATAACGGAGGTTGGTCAGGATCTGTCTTCTGGTGTTTAGACGAGCAAAGTATGGGAGGTTCGCCACGTTGAAACCAACTCAGTATCTGCATCTCGCTCCTCAGGAAGTGTTTTTACACAAAAAGCAATTCATACAGAAAGCTTGTGCGTATGCTGTTGTCTACTGCTATCCATTGGCAACTGCTCTGCCTCACGTATATTGAGGCTTATAAACCTCTACCTAGTTGCTCCCTGGAGCCAACCATTTCTAGCTCTATCTACACTTCCTCCTACACCGACTACTAGCTCACCACTGTTGCTAAGGAGGCAATCATTTTTCTCAATGTTGAGGGCTGGATGCCACCATTTAACACTTTCCGGACAACCTCTCTCTCTCTCTCTCTACTACATGGCCCGTTAGAGGATCTTGCAAATTTTCCTACCATTTTGGCATCTTTGGCTAAGATGCAGAGGGCGAAACAAAAGCGACCGTGGAAACAGATGCTGCGAAGCGGCAGCAGCGACAAAGTCCGCAGCAGGAGCGCCTTCTGAGACGGAAGTTGACGGTTTTGTTTCACCTGTTTTCGATGGCAAGCTGGAGCGGCGGCATACCGAAACTGTCAGTGGATACTGGGTACAATGAGAGGGCCATGCTGAGTGGCACGGAGAATGGAAACGCTGTGATGTTTCAATGCTTTTGCGTAGCATCCGGTCTGGCGAGAGGGATGAGGCCTCATGGTCTTCAGTTTTCTAGCGCGTAGCACGGTGCTCGAAGGCGAGCGGCCAAATCGGCGGAGCACAAGGAGAAGGTGTTTTGGGTATGCCAAAAACCGTTACTCTAGGCACCGGGTGTAGGCGTGGAGGCTTGCTGTTTTGCAGCTAGCGAATTGCTTTCTAGGATAAAAACGCCTTATTGTTAACTTGCAACACAAAAGCATCTCTCATCTGGTCACCTTGGGGAGTCAGCTAGTGCTAGAGGGACGCAAGGGATACTACAGTCGAGCTTAGCCAACAAGCGCACGCAGACACCTTTCACCTTCGGTTTCTTCGGTTTACTTTTGTCTTCAAAACATGGTGGACTTGGGCTGGGTTGTTGGGCCCTGCCTGTGTTGCCGTCCATGAAGCCCCACGTTCGATTACATACTAGTTCAGGCCTAGGTGGGTGAAAGCCTCGGTACCACTGCGCTTTCGGGCACCAAGGCGTTCATGGCGGCGCTGCTATGGGGAGGAGGCATTGCTCTAATTGAGAATTTTTGTCTCGGTGTTTTTTCAAGGTACATCGATGCAGACAGCGTGACAATCGCCTCAGTACCTATATTGAGACGCTCTTGTCCTTCTACATTTTAGTTTGTGTCTGTTTACTGTTGTTCTCCTACGGCCTCTTAGAAGTTGTCTGGCAGAGGCGGAGCCACGGTGCTAGGCAAGGTAGGGACGAGCACACACCGAAAGGCGTTGCTTGACAATATTCAGGGTACTACCAAGCCACCCTAATGCCACCTTGCTCGAAAAGTGGGCGTTAGAGATCTCAGGTACCACTGAAGAGGAAATCAGAAGGGCGCTGAAGGTTTTCCTTGACAACGTCATCAGGGACTTTGCCACCCACCGAACATGCACGCAGAAAAACCGTCGCAGTTACAACAATCACTAGCCGCTACCAAGCACACGAAGGTGTGCTCTGCTTACCGGAGACGCGGGGAGATGTAGCATGGACTGCCCGAAGCTGACTTCACTCATCTGGTCTCAGTAGGTAGCTTGCCTGCCAGTACAAACACAACAATTGTCTACAGTGTTGGTGTAGATAGCAAGCGCTGCTCTGGCGGTGCATGAATGTGAAGATGCATTGCAGCACGTGCGTAGCAACTCTTCTTAGATCGCCTCCTCTCCCCCGTCACCTGGCCCTTGGGCCACTGTACTCCGAGCACCAGGGGAATGGAGGGATGATCAGCTGCTATTAAGGGCCCCTTTCCTTACGCCATTTGCTTCGATTGTAGCTCAGGTAGGTCCCCAGATAATATTGCGGGCTATCTTTGCACACCTGATGAAGGTAAACTAGACTTGTACAAAGTTCAAGGTTGCCTGTGCACCTGAGCAGCTGCCTATACAACTCAAAATGTGCCTCGTGTATGCAACAAATGGGCCTTTATTATATATCCACCCAAATCATAGACGCAAAGACTCAGAGCCGCTGTTAGGCGCGCTGTACAGACAGCGGAGACCGCTACAGTGACCTCAAGACACCGCAGCAGCAGCAGCGGCGGTGATGGGCGGCAGCAGCTGCTCCGCAGCAAATACATTATTCAGAAAAAGGAAACAAAACTTAAATAGAATTAGGGGAAAGAAAGAAGATATTAACTCCAATAAAACATTCGCAGTGTCGCAGTGTCAACGACCGCTTCTGCTACCTCGGCTGCTGCTGCCGTAGCAGTTGCTGCCGTTGTTGTTGCTGCTGCTAAGGTGGCCTAAACCCCCCTTATCCAGCAAAAATTTAGGTTTTTGCGCATTTAATGTATTTCAGAGAACCAAAGGGGGAGCAGAGCGCCCAGCAAGGCGGCGCTAGTAGCAGCGGGAGCGTCAAGAGCAGCAACAACAGCTGCAGCAGCAGCTGCGGCGAGAACAGCACTGACGCGATAAGGACGCAGCTAACAAAAGGATCAGAACCGATCCACCACAATAGAGGCTGCTACTTGTACATCCCACGGTCAGCAGGAGCAACAGTGGCAGCGGCAGCGGCAGCAGCGGCAGCAACGGCGCCGGGAACGGCAGCAGAAGCCGCAGCAGCATTTGCCGCATTCCTTAATGCATTTGCTGTTGTGTAGCGACGACTAAACTAGGAGGCTGGCTGCTCCCTCGTTGGGTGCTGCCGCCACTAGTTCCCCCGCTGCAACAACAGCAGCAGCAGGGGCAGCATGAAGGACAATGAAGATTCATTTAGATTGCTGCAGCGGAGAAGCGCTGCACAGCAGGAGCAGCAGAATGCCGCCGCAAGCAATGCAGTAAATGCAGCAACAGAGGATACAGAAGCTTTTCCCCCATGGGGTTTAGATGCTGAGGTCCGAAAACAGCAGCAGCACCAGCAACATCAGCAACAGCAGCAGCAGCGAGGGGCGAGTCAGGATCTTAATGAAGAATGCGGGTTGTTGCAGCAGCAGCACAGGGACCAGCACCAAACCTCGCGTTTGCTGCTGCACTCCTACATTTTGCCTGCTGGCAGCGCTCCAGCGAAGCAGCAGCAACACGACCAGCAACTCCTTCAGCATCAACAAGAACATCAACAGCAGCACGCAGGTGCGTGGGAACAAGAGCCTTCTCCTTGGCATCCATTTGGTGACAGCAGCAGCGGCAGCAGCAGCAACAATTGGCAGCAACAGCAGCAGCGGGGCCTTGGGCAGCAGCTGCGGCTGCTGCTGAGGTGTCTTGCAGCATCTCCTGCCTTCCTGCTGCAGCAACTGCTGCAGCACTTGCTGTTTTTGGTGCAGCTGCTAAAGCTAACTGCATCCCAAGCAGCAAAACTTGAAATATGGATTCTTGCTGCAGCAACGGGCATAGCGACAGCAGCAGCAGCGGTGTACATACAGCTCAGCTCGGAGGTCATTGCTGACTTTCGCGGCGGTCTCTGCCGCGACTCCGTCTTCAAGTCCCAGACGTAAGCAGCCAATCAACTTCAGGTTGCAACACTAAATCCTAAGCCCTTTTGGGTGCGGCAGCCTCTCTGCATGCGTTCTTGCGGCACTGTCTGTACATTCCAAACGCCTTTACTGAGGCAACTGAGCCGCACCATCTCCCCTGTCGATCCGCATCTGTTTATAACGCTGTTTTGTTTATGCTGCTGCTTCTGCTTGTGCTGCTGTTGGTTCTGCTGCTGTATCTCTGTGTGCTGCTCTTGTTGCTGCCGCTGCTGGTGCTGCTGCTGCTGCTGCCGTTGCTGCTGCTGCTGCCGTTGTCGTCTGTGAAGTATGTGCCTCTCCGGCGTGCCTAAGGGCTTTGCAGGGGCGAGCCCTTGGCATTCCTGGGCCTCTTTGTTAGGGGTTGAGGATGTCGCAGCAGACATCGTGAACTTCTGCGGCTTCTTCACTGTCTCCGTCGCTATGGCCACCGCTGCAGCAGCAGCAGTCTGTGCTTTCGCACCACAAGCAGCAGGTTCCGGTAGGGAGAGGGTTTAGGGTTCAGGGTTTAGGGTATATGACTTGGGGTTTAGGGAGGAGGCAGGCGTCGGATGCTGAGAGGGGCGCCTGGCTGTCTGTCTACTGCTGGGGGGTATGAGCGTATGCATGCGTTTTTTTGTTTGTTTCTCTGCGGTGTACGTGTTTTTGCTGCAGCGAACACTTATCGCATTGTCTTTTGTGTTGCGTTTGCCTTCGTCTCCTCGTTTGTCTCGTGCTGTTCTTTCTGTATCTGCGCCTCTCTTGATGCTGCAGCAGCTCCTTCTCTGTTTGCTTCTCTTGGTTCTGCTGTTAGCGGATGTGGCCGCTGCTGTCCCCTTTTGTGCGTACTCTCACCTTTTGTGTCTCTTTGTCTTCTTTCGCGGGTCTGTCTCCTGAGCAGTTTTCTTATCTCTCTGTGCGTCTTTGTTCATTTTAGCGTCTTTGCTTTTGTGTAGTGTGCTGCTTGCTGTCTGTGGTGCGTCGCTTGCTGCTTCTGTCCACGCCTGTTGCTCTGACTGTGTTGCTGCTGTCTGCTGCTGCTGCTGCTGCCCCTGCTGGTTGCTCGTGCAGGAATTGCAGACGCAAAGGTGTTTATGGGGGGCCTTCGCGACAGCAGTTTTCTGTCTCCTCGCGTGCTGACGGTGAAGCTGCTGACGCTGTCTCTCGCTGTAGGCAGCGGCCTCTCTCTGGGCAAGGAGGGGCCCATGGTGCACATCAGCTGCTGCGTGGGCTTTTTGTTGCTTTCTGCTTCGCGCCGCGCTGCCATCGCTCTCCCTGAGATGTACAGACACCTCAAACACCGCGCAGCAGGCATCGCAGCAGCTGTCGGCCTCAGGCGCTCTGCCTTTCGCCTCCCCTGCACGGCAGCAGCAGAGCCGCCCCACTGCCTCCCAAATGCTGCACAAGAAGAAGCTGCTGCAGCGGCAACTCCTAAAATGCACGCGCTGTCTGTACACTGCAGACGCACGCTTAAAACACCCCCAATTAAGGCCCAAAACCAGGACGAAACCCTCAACGCCATCCTCCTAGCCGCCTGCGCAGCCGGTAGGGGGTTTAGGGTTTAGGGGTTTAGTGTTCTATCGCTCTAAGGGTTTAGGGTTTACGGCTCAGGGCCTAGGTAATGTCCCTATAATCAACAAACTAATAGAGGGGCACGCTCGCATTCTGAACCCCTAAATCCTTAACCCTTATAATTCAGGGTCTGCGGCTTAGACGGAGACTATGGCGCCAGAATTTTGGGTTTAGGGCTTAGGGCTTTTATGCTAGGGTATGGGGTTTCGAGCCGGGCCTCAGGAGTTAGGGTTTAGGGTTTAGGGTTAAGGGTGTGGCGTTGGTTTTGTGCATGCGTCGGGATTATTTTAGGGTTTGGGGTTTAGGGTTTGTTGTGGTTTTGTTTTGCAGGCGTGGGCTGCGCGTTTTCCGCTCCTATAGGAGGGGTTTTGTTTGCCTTTGAGGAGATGGGGGGGGGCCTAGGGGGCATGCATCTTCCTCTTAGCAAGCAGTCGTTTGGCGCCCAGAGGACTCTGTGGCTTTGCTGCTGCTGCTGCGTTGCTGCTGCAATCGCGATGCATGCATTTGGCAGCCTAGACCCCACGGCGGCGCCTACGCTGTTTCAGTCGATGCGCTATACCTTGTGAGCTTCGTCTGCTGCAGCGAGGGTGTGCTGCTGCTGGAGACCAGCATCAGCAGCAGAAGCAGCAGCAGCAGCAGCAGCAAGAGTGCTTATGCGGGGCGTAAAGCCAGGGGCGTTGCATATCCGTTGAGGCTGCTGTGCGTGTGTCTGTTTGTGTGGGGTTTGCTGCTGCAGCAGCTACGGCTTTTGGGAATTGGTTCCCTTTGCGTGTTTAGGGGTTTTAGGGGGGCTGCTGGGCCCCGTCTTCGTGCGGCTCTGCATGAGGTGGCTGCGCATGCACAAAGCGTTTCTCAGCAACGCATGCAGCCCCATCACAGAGGCAGCCCTCGTTGCTTCTGTCTCTGCTGTCGCCAACTACGCCCTACCGATGATGCGACACACCTCTGCCGTCTTGCTAGGCAAGCTGCAGCACAAACGCAATATACCCTAATCCCTGAACCCTAAACCCTAGCCATACGCACGAGAGCCGAGACTGTAGCCCGAATCCCTCGCGAGGCCGCACCAGTGGCTACGTGGTGGCGCAGCAAACACGAGGAGGGGCTACAGCAACAGAAAGCTTTCTTGCTGCCGCAGCAACCTCCTGCAGAAAGAGAGTGTTGCTGGTAGGGTTTGCCTGCTGCGCTTTTCAGAAAATTTGTTCTCGCGCTGCAGCGCAGACGCCTCGGCGGACCCATTGAACATGTGTGTCCGCACAACCACCACCAGCAGCAGCAACAGCAGCAGCAGCAGCAGCATTCAGGGTCCCGCCCCCTCCGATGCGTACCGAGTAGATGGGGGCCTCGCGTTGGAGTTGTGCTGCGTTTTGTTTTTCAAAACGATCTTGACAGTCTTTTCCTTCGGCCTTATGGTGCCAGCAGGCATCTTCATCCCAGCACTAACTGTCCGTCTAGGGTTTAGGATTTAGGGTTAAGGGTTTGGGGTTTCGGGGTGGGAAGGTTTCCGAGTTTGTTGGTGACTTTCTGTTTGGTTGTTTCTATTAGTTTAGGCTTTAGGGCTCCGGGTTTACGAAGACTTTTAGTGTGTGCATGTTGGTCTTTTTTCTCTGTGGGTTTAGGGTCTAGGGTTTAGGTTAGGCTTTAGGGCCTATTCTCAATCTCGTGCTGGGTGCCAGCCTGTGTTTTCTGGCATTGTTGAGCTTGCGTTATTGTATGATTTTGTCTTTGGTGCGTGCCTTTGTTTGATGTTTTCTTTGCTTGAGATGTAGGGCGGAAGGGTTTAGGGTTTAGGGCTTAGGGTGTGGGGTGCTTAATTTTGTGTGTTGCAGATTGGTGCTTCTTACGGCCGCCTAATGGGTTTGTTGATGTTGCGCGTGCGTTCTTTATTGGGTTTTGCTGCTGCTGCTGGCGCTGCTGCGAGTCCTGGGGCGTATGCGTTGGTGGGGGCTGTCTCCTTTTTAGGGGGAGTGACGCAGACAAACATCGCTTTAATTGTTATTTTAATTGAGGCTACGAAAACATCGGCGGCTCTCGCTCTTCCTTTTCTTCTTTCTCTCGCTATTGCGAAGCTCCTCAGTGCACAGACGCAACAAGGCGGGTTTTATGCAGCGCTTATTCGGTTTAAAAAACAACCTTACTACTTCTTCCATGAAACGCAGGTAATGATGCAAACAAAAGCTGGCAGAGTGAGTGAGAGAGAGAGAGAGAGAGAGAGAGAGAGAGAGAGAGAGAGAGAGAGAGAGAGAGAGAGA